TATATTATAGTATTATTTAATATTATATTTTATTTTAGAAAACGAAATAGCTAATGAAGATCTAGATAAAATGTCAAGTGTCTTACCTACTGTCTGGTTAGGATTTGAAAATGGTTGTATATTTGTACATTCTGCTAAATCCCAGTGGAAGCGGTGTTTACACTCAGTAAAATTAAAAGATGCTGTGTTGAGTATTATGTAAGGACATTTTATTTGTATTAAAATCGGAATATTTGATTTGATATTATTTTATTTTTAGTTATGTTGATGGTCGTGTTTTATGTGCTTTGGCTAACGGAACAGTAGTTGTATTTCGRCGTGATGATGATGGTCGATGGGACTTAAGCAAATATTATAGCGTGACATTAGGGCCTCCTCAAAATGCAGCTCGATGCCTAGTATCTGTTAACAGCAAACGTGTTTGGTGTGGTTATAAAAATAAAGTGCATATTATTCATCCACGTTCATTAGTTGTTATTGTATGTATAATAATAACTTATGGCATAATATGATGGGATTAAAATAAATAATTATATATAATTTAGCATACAATAGAAGCACATCCTCATAAAGAAAGTAAAGTTCGCACCATGGTTTGGGTAGGAGATGGAGTTTGGGTATCAATTCGGCTTGACTCAACAATAAGACTTTATCATGCATATAATTATAACCATTTACAAGATGTTGATGTACAACCATTTATTATCAAAATGCTAGGTAAATCTTGTTTCGTAATAAAGTAATTAACAGAATAATTTTTTTATTGAATTAATTATGATTAAAAAATTGTCATCAACAGGATCTGATAAACCACAACTATCGTGTATTAGGATTACAGCAATGTTAGTTGCTTCTAACAGGCTATGGATTGGCACTGGAATTGGTGTAGTTATATCAGTCCCACTTTTAGATAGTAAGATATATTTATTTACCTAACATTACTAATAATGACAACAATTATTACATTTTTTCCTAATATATATATATATACTTTTTCATGTTTAGAAGGTTTATTAGGTTTTCCAATTAATAAAGAAGTAAAAGTATATTCAGAACCAAAAACTCAAGAGATAACACCAAGTAGTTTCATACCATATTGCTCAATGGCCCACGCTCAACTGTCTGTACATGGGTTTAGAGATTCAGTAAAGTTTTTTGTTTCTGTACCAGGTAAATTATTAGTTGTAAACAAATTTCTGAAATTTTTAAAATATTATTCTTAATAATTATTGGCCACTCTATGGGAATAGTTTTTATTCATAGATATATCTATACTAGGGTTTTATGATGTTGCTAATTTATAACTTCTAAATTTTATAAATAATTATAGAGATTAAAATTAATTTATCATCTCAGTCTTAATACTAATGATTAATGAATAACTTGACAATTTCACTTTTTATAAAACAAACAATTTTATCTGTAGGAGACTGGAGTGTGTATCAATAATAAAGTGAATAGACTTATTACTAAATGTATCATATCATCTGTAATATAGAATTTGAATTYATTATACATTATAATTTTCTTTTTATTATAGGATCTGGAGGTTTTTCAGCAGCGTCTTCTATTCAACAAGACGATCCAATTGTTGAAAGTGTACCTGATGCTGAACATTTGACATCCACTTTGATTATTGCTGGTGGTGAAGGTTATATAGATTTTAGATCTGGTAAATATATTATTGAAAATCATTTCTATTTAAAATAAAAAGATTTGTAGGAACAAAAATATTTAAAATGTTTTGTCTGTAGCCGATGGGGAAGAAACGAATGATGCAACTTGCCATTTGCTCGCTTGGTCTATGTTGTCTAGAATTATTCAACAGGACAATTGCTAAAAAGTTATAAAAATTTCCCTCAAATATTAAAATGGTATTTATAATTATCGGTTTAGCTTTGATTTTCTCTWTTTATACTGATGTGGTTCAACTTCTTGACTTCTGTCTTAAAATATTGTCATATTTTTATGAGCACTAATAGTTATAGAATTAAATAATTTTAATCTATTATGTCTTATTCATAAAAACCATTGTTTATTTTAATAAGAGTTATTTAATCAAACATAGTTAAACTAGATTAATTGATATTTTGTGTTTTGAAAAACAATTAAATGTCTGCTCAATTCTTTAGAAGAATTTTAGACAAACTATGTCTATTCTAGTATTTAAATATGGTTACTGTTATTTATCTAAAATACCATTAGCATAAATTTCCAATAAATAGAGTTTATAGGTAATGCCATGTAGTGGTGGGCATATCCGGATTTCAAAAATCCGAATTATTCGGATTTAGTAAATCCGKATTTCACGGATTATCCGGATTATTCAAGTAAAATTATTATAGTAAAATTACTCAATTTTAACATGTTTGATGCAACAGAAATACTATTCCTACAAATATGTCTCCACTCTCCACTTGATATTTTTCGATAATTTTTATTTGATAATTTACTGTAAAAGAACATGTCCTAGTAAACAATTAAATCGATAACAATTATTGTCGTAAGATAAATTTAACTTATCTTCAAAAAACCTTTTTCAATAACCATCCGAAGGTCATGCAGTAAAGATTGGGTATACACTATACTTGTCTATTTGAAATGTATACATTTCAAACGATTATTATGATCCGAACTTTGATATAATATAACATTTTTTTAAATTTTCATTATAATAAAATAATTTRTTTTACCATACATTAAAAATATTTGTAAGTCTGAAGTCACATAAAAAGCAAATCCATAAATCCGGATAATTCGGGAAATCCGTATAAGAATTTGATTCAAATCCGGATTTGGATATCCGGATATTCGGATAATTCAGATATTCGGATTTCATGCCCATCCCTAATACCATGTAACTCAATATGTATTATTAGTAAGCCAAGTATATTTTTCATGTCATTTCACCAAACTAGTATATACTATTCTATTTTAAAAAAACATTAGATAAAAATAAAAGTTAATTATGCCAAAAAAATCTTAATGATATTTGTTACCCCATCACTTTAGTGCAAATAATTAATATAAAACCATATTAATTTAGAGTCGCCGATGGTAACATGATAGTTAACGAAATAAGCACATTTGTTGTCCTGGAAATAAATATACGTTATTTATCCTATTAAAAGCTACTTCATATAGGTTCACAATTATTAATAAAATTATTTCTAGTAATAATAGCCTCAACATAGCCTAACCATATAAAAATGATAAGTTATTAGTTGAAGTTCTGGAAAACATATACCCATAATAGAGTTAAACCATTTTATTATCTATAGAACAAAAATATGTAGAAAATATAAGAAAATCAAACATTTTTTTAATTATATTTAAAATTGACCAACTTTTTCTATTTACATTACACGATTATACATATAATGTTTGCTCATTGCCTGAAGTATTTTTAATCGTTTAATTTAATTCATACTTAAATTTTTACAACTGTACAAATTTGATTGTAGGATTTTTTTTCTGAATTCTGTGTTATTATCTAATGGATAGATACAACAAATATATTTTATTTTACATTTACACATAAGATCGATCTATTTATATTAAGTTTTCCTTTAGTATACTTTATCATTTAATTAAAAGTTAACTCTATACATTTTTAAGTTATATTCACTTCTCAAATCCTCAACTTATTATAAAATTTATACCAAACAAGATTACATATTGATATTTTTAAATTTACTTAAATCATATTTTTCGATATTAACTTTACTGTTCAGCCTTGCAGATCACAATTTTTTTCCTCAATAAGCTACCTATTGTTTATCTGATAGCATGTGAAATTATTTTAAAAGCATTATAACTGAATAATGACACTAAAAGCTATAAAAAAAACTTCTGACATATACTGTATATCATACAGGTTGATTCTTTAAAATATCCATTATTCTTATATACAGCACAATGAGTATGTTAAGTGAATCATCCAGTAACGTATACAGTGTATTTAAATAATAGTATATATTTATAATAATACAATAAGATGATCTGTGTACCTTTTAAATCAATATAAGTATGAAAATAACTTTTATTCCTACAAAAATGTTAATTATGTTTAACACATAAATCATCGACTAAGGTCTATCTTGGTCCATGATGGAAATCACCTACAATACTGATTAAAATGTGTGTGTTTTTTTTTAACTAATATGTTTGCAGTTAAACTTATTTTTATTTATAAGTGTTAATTTTTTTTTTTTTTTAATGGTTTTTAGATGAACAAGGAGATGGTGACTACTTTGAGCGGACAGAAAAAAATCAATTATTTATCTGGGGAGTTCATGCAGAAGCTAAAAGCAAAGCAAGATTAAATGCAGATTTACTAAATAGTACAATTTAGTAAGATAGGATTTTTTTCTTATATTTTGTTCATATAAAGTGCCATTTCTCAATATGATATATTTAATGTTTTAAACTGAATTGAATCGAACCCTATACCTGATTCTTCCTGTATATCATTTTATTACTAACTATTGCTTTTGTTACCTTATTTATTATCCCTATCTGTTATATTATTATTTACATTATGTTATATTGTGCTGTGATTTATAACTCATTTAGTACATTTCTGAGGTTTTTTTTATAAC